GATTAGATGCATTGTAGTAATTTTTAACCCATGGTAAGATGTATTATTGAAAATAATACTTTGCTTTCACAGCACATTTCATTCATAAATCTCAGATTTGCTGCGGTTTAGTACTGGATATGACAACTCCTTTGTGTGGTACTTGTACTTTAAAACATAGTTTTAAATAATTCTGCTCCCTCCAGTGTCTGTTCTTAGACCCTCACTAAAGAATTACCTGGAGATGTAGGAAAGTTTCAAAATAGTCATACATTTTTATCAGCATTCACTGTGACTTAGTTTATATAGCAGTAGTGCGTGGAAAGAGTCAGATCAGGTGTGCAATCTCACTGGTAAAATCTGGAAGATATTTATGGTTTATGAATAACTTTTACTCATATAAAAAGAGACATTACTCCAGTACCGCTGACAATGGCAGACTGCAGAACTGTACTGTTCTTTGAGATTGTTCCCAGTGAAAGCCAACTCTTCTCACTGACTCACTAATGATTATTTAACTAACTTACTAAGTATCTTCCATGTCAACCTACTTTAAACAAAGAATCTTGCAATCCTGAGATGTTACCTAGAAGAGTTTATAAGAATTTTTTTCTCCATATTCTTTCTGAAAGTGTTTTAGCAGCAAAATTCTGGCATGACAGTAGCCTGGTGCTGAGCCCTGCTTATGTCCTTGGTGTGTTAAGCTGATCAGCAGCTTTGGGATCAGGAGGGAGTTTTCCTGCAGGGCAGATGGGAAGGGGTAATTGTTGATTGAGGTTTTCCTTATTTGTGATACTTTTGAGAATTTTCATTGCTTCTGAAGTGAGCAAGATGGTGGCGATGACTTCTGTTCCTGTCCTGCTGTTTTCTTTTGACGTGTTATAGTCATGGGTCTGTCTTTGTTAGCCCTTATATATGAGACGTCCTCATGCTGCACCTGTATGTTATACAAAGAGCTCCCAAAATTTCTGAGACCATGAGCATTGCCTGGTCCCAGGAGTATTATATCTTAGAAACTCTTAAAAGGAGGTCCCCACATTTTGTCCTTGTTTGGTTGTCATTCTCGTGACCAGACGTGTCTCCTGGCATCATGCCATTCTGAAGGATCCCCTCTCTGTCTTAGTTTGGCTCTTAATGTAAGTAATGCAAGTTGGACATCATTTTCCCTAGAACTTCTGTAGTCCGTGGAGGAAGACACACAACAGGAACTGTTGCAGAGATTGCTTTCTATGAAGGGTTGTTTTCTCTTCTGACCATCCAGGCAGCCCTGTGAGACCTCCTTGGCATCTTGCAGCTTGTGAACTTACTGGATACAAACACCTCATGCCTCCGTTGTCTGTTTCCCAGTGTTTAATGACTGATGTTGCAGCACCGTTTTAATGCTGCTGACTTCACATGCAGAACTGAGAGAAATCGTGATTTAGTAGGTTAATTTTATGACTGGGAAACAAAAACAGTTATTGTAACTCAGTGACGTTAACACGTATTTTTAGAATATAAATAAAAATACCTTTTTCCAATAGAAACAGTAAGCACTAACACAGAAATAACGAGTGACACATGCCACAGGAAAAGTATTGGTTTTGGCATATGTGGATGTACTAGCAGGTGTTTTTCCTGTGTCTCAAGATGCACTAACTCGTAGCATTACTGGAATTCAATTAGCAGCCTTTTTAACATGGCTTTTTTCTGTTAGTGCATTATCCACCTGTAACTATTCAATATTTAATTTATAAATCAAGTTGGGGGAGGGGGGATTGTTTGTTTTAGGGTGATTTTTTGTTTGTTTTTTTTTTTCATTTGTTTTTTAAAAATGAAGTTTCTTTTGTAAGTTGGCCCACAGGGGTGGTTAGAACCTTGTCTCAAAATTCACCCAGTGGAAACTAAAAGTTGCTAGTCTCTAGCAGCTGTTACATACATAGTCTGCGTTTCTGGCTGCCCATATCCTAGCAGGTAGCTGTTTCTGTCAAGATCCATCACCTTGGGCAATGATTGACACATTTGCTGGCAGTTTCAGCAGAGAGGTCAGGGATGGGGCCAGGATAGAGCAGGGGCTGTCCGCAGGGGTGTACCGGTAGAGAGGGTTGAGCTTTGCTAAGAAGGGAGCCTGGGGAGTCTACCACCACAGCCGAGTGCTTCCTTGTTACATGGACAAAGCACTCCAGTCTCCAGTCTTGTCAAGCGATTGTCTTTCATCAGCAATAAATCTGCTTGCTCAATAAATGAAAAAGGTAATAAAACATTTTTATTAGTCATGACAAATGCTTGTCTTAGGAGAAGTTGAGAAAATAATGACTTGGTTTAAATGCATATTAAATTAAGTAATTTTTGAGGCATCTTTAAGACCTGAAGGTATTTTATGATATGATAAAACAATTGCATAATTCATGCTATATATCACACCAGTGGTGAGTGTTGCTCAGAAAAAATAAAACCATTCTCACTTTAATGTTTTTAATTTTAGGCCAGCCTGGCATTGCATGTTAACAGCATTTTTGTCCAATTTCTCAGTCTGCTCTCTCTTGTCAATGCCATCTGCTTGCTTGTTTTACCACCTCTTTAACAACCAGGTGATTTTTGCCATCTTCACCCTCCTCCTTAATATGCCCAGCAGTCTCACTTGGGTTTATGGGGTTAGTGTGCTAAGCAATATTCATATGTTTGCGTAAATGTGTTCCCTATTCTAAAAAAACTTTCTCCATTTCTAGTTCAATAACTTCAAAATTTTTCAGCATCCTGGCTTACAGCACTGAATTATTTTACATTAGTCTAATCTGCTTGTTATGCCAGCTGGTTTTGTTGATCTCTAATGTATTCATTTATGCAATATGTTCTACTCTAGCAAGGCACTTAATTTTAAGTGTGTAGGTAGACTTGGTGAAAAGAATGTGATTAGCTCAAAGCTGAGCACCTGCCTAAAAGCTTTGCTGGATTGGAGGCTTAGGAAAGAGAGCAAAAGATTGGTCTAATTATGTTGAATGTGTTTTAGAGCTGCTTTATCCTAATAGCCTTATCACCAGACCAACCTCTGCTTACGGATACTCAATGCAGAAGATTTCTCACAGCTTGCTAGGCTTTTCTTTTCACTTCATAGTCTTCTAGATCTCTCTCCTGGCTTTTCTGAACTGTAATCTTAAGCATGGTTTGCACAAAATACATGTATCTCTGCCTCTTAGGAGGTAACTTCAGGGAAGCCATGTCTTAAAATACTGAATGTAGAAGGCAATGAAAAACTGATATCACCAGTTCATTTGATTTTCATCTGTGTGAGGAGAGCAAATATTTATACAAGTCTAGACTATAGCAGCCCACAGAATAAATTTGACAGTAAGATAGTGGAAAAGATGAAAAGATAAAATGAATGACACAGGGTTAAATTGTGCTCTGCTATTAATTTGGGCTGAGCCAGTATTAGAACTATTTGGGAAAAAAAAAGGACATAAACCACTGATCATGAAATCTGAAGAAAAGATGTACATGTATTTTTCCAGTTCTAGCTCTTACCTGCTGGTGTTTATCTTTTTCCATTCCTCAAATCTGTGTACCCTCGGCCCCACAGATGCCGCAGGGATTTGCAGTACTTAGTTTAATTCATGACCACTGTAAAACTGGCCTAAATCCAATGCTACAAGAATGGCTGCTACTGCTTTCCCAAGTCAGAACTTGGCTGGACTGGGATTTTGCTTTTCCTGCTGCTGCGTGGCCAGGGCCTAAGACATTGCTGAGACCAGGAAGCCATGCACAACCCCAGGTGTTTCCCAAGAAAGAGACATTTGTTGAGTTGTCTTTGCACACCCTTCCTCTTCTACAGTGTTTAACTTGGATGTGTTGTCATTTCTGAAGCCATAAGAAGCTCCTCGTGGAATTCACACTGCAGTTTCCTGTGTGTTATTTTTCAGAGGCAAGGCTATACTATGGTTTTCTTTCTCCTTTGTTCCTCCCTGTGTGAGGTTTTGGCATCTTTATCAAGGATGGCACTTGAGCAAATGCTTAACTTGATTGCACTGCCTAGACTCGAAGATAGAAATGGGCTTAGGCACTCTTCAAAAAGTATGAACTGAGGCAGATGTTTAATGCTTTCTAAGATGCAAACTAAGTAAGTGCTTTCTCAGAAAGATTATTCCTAACTGTTTTTTACTATATATATCATGATAGGGAGAAGGAGGAAAAAAGAAGAAAATAGCTGCATAGCAGTAGATTTGTAACAGCTCGTCATGTTGGTGGTTACTTGCCACCACAGTGTTTTTAGCTGAATGCAGCCTATACATAGGGCAATAGAGAGTCCCAGGCTTTTGCCTTCCTTCTTCCTTTTAACAGGTGCAGGTCAGACAGCAGCAGGTAGTGAGCAGCTCCCAGCTCTGCGCACAGCTCTGTCCTGCCTTTCTGTGAGCCTTTGTCTCTCTTTCCTTCTGTGTCTGTTTAAATTACAACAGCTAAAAAGGTGAGGACTGGCTCCTGCTCTGTGTTTGACCCTGCCTGCCAAACCTGGGGTACTTGCTACCCATTGGCATGTCAAAATGTTTTTGTAATACAAATAATTATTAAGAAATTTCTATTTTGCCACCTAATCATCTGCAACTTGAGACTCTCAATGCATTTGAGACTGACCAATAAGCCATCGGTATGAATAAAGTCTGAGAGGTCTAAAGATGCTTTCAGGTTCTCTGTGTTTGACGTTGATGTCTTCAGTGGCAACTCAGGTGCCAGAGACTGGGGCCCACTCTGTGCACACTGTTGAAAGGTCCCTGGAGTGTCTCAAGGCAAAAATTCAGACAGAAGCATACAGTTCCAGGGCAGCATTGGAAAGGCTGGCTTGATGTCCCTACAGCTTTCATGCAACATGGACAGCCTTCCATCCGCCTGCCAGTGCAGGGTTCGCATTGGTTTTGATAGTATATGAGAATGCAAGTGGATTGAGGCATTGGTCTTAACTTGCACATGCTGTGAGCTATGATCTCAGCTGCGAGGCTATATGCATAATCCTTTCTGCCTAACATTAGTTTTCTGTTTGTCTTTTGCAGCACTTTTACAGGCAGTCATAGCTGGTGACCTGCTGAAGGTGAGTACAGAGCACTGAGTGTCCGCTTTTTCACAGCTTTTTGCAGGTCTGATATACTGTAAATTTTATCACACCTCTGCTCAAAACATCAATGGACTGCTGTAGGGACTGCTGGCAAGTGCCATTTTACAGCCTTTCCAGGAAGCCCTGAATATTAGGGAAACACATCCGTCAGGTGAGATGTGAAATTCGAGTGAATAGGATCTGGTGTTAGACAGCACTTTTCAGCCCAGGATTCATAGCACACTGCACAGAGCAACGTGTCAGTTGCTAACAGGGAAATTACTATACTGGCAAATGCAAGACTGAACAGCAGGGTAGCTCTGAACAGCCTTACACAGATATTTTATGGCAGCGAGGTTGGTGGCCAAACCCCTAGAGTTACTAGAGACTTCATAACTTCTGCCTAGGCAACCACCAGACCAGGTAGAACAAACCTCAGCTTGTTGTTTTATCATCTGATGAATGCCTCAAAACATGTAGTGTCTTGGTATTGTTAGGAGCAGGCACCCATGCAAACCTGCTTTGTGCCCAAAGTCTGAAGTTCCGTGTCTGACAATTATTCAGGCTGCGTTTTTCAGTAGCCAAATCAGGATTTGAAAATATGCCTTTGAATTTGGGTGAGGACTGTGATTAATGATTTCAATTTTATCTGTGAGAAGGCAGCTTGGAGCCATTTGTAAAAATGACAGTATGGTTTGGTTAACTCTTTGCCATCAGGTGCCCCTTCTATAGCTCTGCGCTTGCAACTGCAGCATCTAGGGAGCAGTCCTTCAACCAGCAGTCATAAAAACATTGTCCCCTCTCTGCTTCTTGAAAACTTTTTGCCTGCGCTTGCTTTGGCAGGGAAACTTCTTGCCCTTCTGCCGATGTACTGCATCATAAACCATGCCCCACTATTGCAATCCTCTCCCTTTTCTGCAGTGATCTGCACTGCAACCCCCCTCCCCACTCCAGAGTTTGCAGCATTTCTGGGACCTGGTCGGTTGCCGTTTCCTGCCTGTTCTTACCCCGCACAGTGCTTCCTCCTCCACCAGCTCTGGGTAGGGGACAGAGGGCGAGAAGGGAGACATGGGGCACTGAACCCCACCTCCCTACTGATTTCTGAGTTGGAGTTTTCTGGTTTAGTTGGAAAGTATTTGTCTCCTGTGCTGAGGAAAAATTAGAATTTTCAGTAGAGAAGCCAGAATTTTCTATCAAATACATATATCTTAAAAGTTCCCAGCAGCTTCACCAGAAATGGTTTGCAAGTGTTGCTAGCAAGGAATAATTCATCGCCAGTGGAGTAGCAATGTCTCATTGTTTAGGAAGAACATCCTGCTCTTCTTAGCTCATGTAATTGTCAATACCTCTAGTTTCAGGTATTTTTTCATTGAGGCCTAAAAGCTGGCTTTAAAGCAATGTTTTTTATTTTATTCCATTTTTGTACTGACCTGCTATGAAAATTAGTAAATAATTTGCCTGCATGTTTGTTTTTCTGCTGCTACCATCTTATCCTTCTATATGTGTGTTTTCTTTGTTTGTTTTTGGTTTTTTGTTTTTTTTTTTGTTGTTGTTGTTGTTTGGTTGTTTTTTTTCCAGTTCATAGAATGCTGCAAAAAAGGAGCCAATTTGTTAATCCAAGGACCTGATCACTGCTCTTTGTTACACCATGCTGCCAAGACTGGACATAGCGAGATTGTGAAATACATCCTGGAGCATGGTGAGTCACGGTGGGCAAAGCCACGGAGAGCTGTACTTCAGCCAAGTGTCAGTCAGGTAAAACCACACCATACGACTGGAAGTGCCCTCACTTATCTGTGGTCACCCTCAGCAAAATGTCCCCTTGCAGCATGTGTGAGCAGGAGGCTGGGAATATGGTGGCAATGACAGTGATGGCTCCAGAAAAACGGGAAAGTGTGGAAGCAAAACCAAAGATAGCTTTTGGGGAGGATGGGTGTTTCCACACTTGCATCAGTTGAGAAGGCTGTGAAGAAGCAGTGTGATGCTCTAGTTAGAACCTCTGGTATAGGAATCCTCTGAACTACTTTGTTTTTCAATTAGAGCATATGTTGTAGAAAGCATCTTATCTCTGTTCAAACATTTACAGCAATTAAGAGCCCATCTGATTATTGTTATTATTGCAGTATTTAATAACACACTGGTTAGGAATCTGTGCATTTATTTCTAAACTGGATTTGCCTAGCTTCCCTTCCAACCTTCCATTATTATGTCTCTGTTAGATTCAAGACCATATGATGACAAAAATTTGTGATCTCCATTTTATATTTCTGAGCTCTGATCATGCTATTTCCCTTTTTCCTTTTGACCCTTTTAATCTTTATCAGTAGCAGAATTGCAGGCATGCTTACACAGGCTATGCAGCAATTTGTGTGCGTACATACATTTGAGGCAGTCACATTTAAGAGTTTCTGCCTGCTGATAATCTTGTTCACTGGTTGCTGGAGAATGGTACAGTAATGCTGTCACTACTCTGCATGCAGAGCTAAAGTCCCGGTGATCAGCCTCCTGCACTGTTTTCTAGTCCATTAAACTTTCTTGTAGCTCTTCTCTGATCCCTCTTCAAAATATCAATGGCTGTTTTGACTTCTGGATGTCAAAATCAGCTACGTTATTTCAGCAGCAGTGTTAGTGCTAAACATAGAGACTGCCCCTGGCAATTGGAATAAGTGTTAGCTAATGCTCAGAAGTTACTGCAAAAATTGTACAGAGAGAAGAAAAAAGCACAACTCACAGGAAAGGAAGAGGCAATAATCCATCTGTTAACATTCGTGTTAATTGGGGTGGGATTTAGCACGAGCTTGACTCCTAAATTTAGATGTTCACATGTAAGTGTCATGTAATCTATGGGTCTAAGTCCCTGTACTGTCAGGAGATTCATGACTCACACAGAATCACAGAATCAAAGAATGTTTGGGATTGGAAGGGACCTCAAATTCATTTGTTCCTGTATGACAGAGGCGCTAGAGGAGACCTGTCCTCTTTCAGTGGCAGATGGAAGTGAGGAAGACATCTTTAATAGCAGCAGACTTCTAGCATGACTGGCTCAAGGGAGATCCTAGTCAAAGCAGTCACTGCAGCCCAGCAAGTGATTCAACTGACAGCTACCTGTATGCTTCATTAATTTACCTAAACATAAATAATATCATTTGCCCTTGGAGATCCAGGACATCTGCAAGATAACATACAAGGCCTGTAGGAGACCTATACTGGACTGGCAGCTGGAGCCCAAGCAAGCATCCCTGTCATTCCAAATGCATCCCAAGACCTGTCCACAGGCATATCAAATGGCACGAAATACCTGTGTGTGGGCAACTGAACTGTGCCCCAGATGCCTGCCTCAAGGGGTCTGAAGTGCTACTTTGCTCTTTCGTGTATAGATACCTACACGTGGATAGCTAAGTGTGGTTGCTCTTACATCCAAATATTGGCTAGTTTTCTCCCATTTTAACAAGTCTGACCAGTGCTAACTCTACCTCTTATTTAACTTCTCTGGATTATCTCATTAGTCACACTGCATATACATGCCTCTGAATTCTATAGACAGACATAATTTCACTTCATTTTCTTACTGCCTCAGGTCTCTTCTCACAGTGTGCAATCTGTGCCAATTCACTGTCATGGCTGCCTCTCCAGAATTTTTTTTGGGCACATATACCTTAACTTACTGACAGTCTGACTCAGGTACCATTCCTTTGATGAAGGTTTAGAACAAGATCGTTTAAGCTGGTGAGAATGTGAGCAGGGAACCCATGGGAATTTTTGAAGTAAATAGAGAAATGTGAGGGATTACGGACTGTTAGACAAAGACAAACCAGAAGGTTGAGCAAATGTCAGCTCAGTTCCTCTTTCCCCTTTATCCCCAAGGATGGCAGGAAGCTTTTGCAGCTTTCCTCTGGGCTTCTCCAAATGCATTGTTTGTTTAACATTCTCTGGGGATTGGAGAATGCATGGGACAATGCTCTAACAGGAGCCTCCTCTCTCCTCCCATCAAGCAATTAATGAAACTCACTTCTACCCTAGGCACTTCTCAGTCACAAATGAGCTCTCTTGCTGAATCATCATCATCATAATGTCCGTGTTTTTCTCTTGCGTTCTCTGGCATCTGGCATCTTCTCAACATTAATTAGTGTATAAGACCCAAACTAATGCTACTAATATCTGAGGCTTTCCCTGTATCTAGCTTCTCATTTCTGCTGATAGCCACCCTTGACAAAAATGGGTCTTAATCCTGTTCTAGCAATTATCTCTGCCCAGTCATACTTTCTCTGTAGCTTGTCTGCTTCCCATACATGGCTGGAGATAGTTAATAAGAGTTCCACTGCAAAATACCCTCCAGCACACAGCACAGAAAACCTATTATTAATCACACAGGGAAAATCTTCTGAATATCTTTAAAAAACAACAACAATGAAACAAGACAAATCCCACTATACCAGGAATTTTAACTGCCTAGTGTGAAACTAGTGGTGTGAATGAAATGTGATACGGGAGCAGGGAATCGCCTCCTGCCCATAACTCAGGGATTATGTAGGAGAGAAAGTGGTTTAGTGATGCCACGACTGTTCTTGGTGGAGATGGCTTTATGTTTTCTGCAAACATTGAGGGGACGTTAATGTGAGAGGTTATACTATAATCTTGATCGGAATGATTTCAGATGTTAAGGGGAGGAAAATAACCCGTCTTAAATTAGAAAGAGCAGAGATGAGTCACACAAGGAGACTGCTGTGCACGATTGCCAGACACTTAGCAGTGGACTTGCACAAGCCTGGAATAGCAGCTGAAGCACCAATGTAGTAGGTGTCAGGACGACAGCTGCTTGCTGCTGCAGGAACAGTTGCGTTGGCTGCTGTTCCTGCAAAGCAGTTTCTCCCTGTCCCCTGTGCAGGAAGGGCAGATACACAGACCTATCGGTTGTTCAAGACTGCCTTCTGAAATCAGGGGTCGTTTGCTTGTAGTAGAAGGGTCACCTTTTGAGATCTGTCTGTAGCTGGGCTAAGGAACACTTAGCTTGAAACTGAGGGCCAAACTCAGTAGGTATCAGAACCACCTCTGTTTAATGCTGCAGTCAGCAAGTGTCTCACACGCTGATGCTTATATATTAGAGAAGAGTTAACTATTTACTTGCTTAAGACAAACAGAATTAGGGAGGACTTAAGAAGCTCCGTTAGAAAAATGACCTCCTAAATCATCATCCATATTTGGAACCAAACTTGGCTTGGAGTCTTTACCTGGAAGTTGTGAGCTATTTATAATTTATAACCATTACACAAGACATTCCGAGGTTTACCTTCTCCTTGTCTTCTCTTCTCTAGAGGCTCAAAAGACTAACAAGAATTCTGTAGTTCATCTAGGGTATTTTTAATTTAAACAGAAAAGAGGAAAGAAGTTTACAGTTGCCATAGGGGTTTGTGGTGGGAAATTATGGTGGAACAGTCAGTCAGTAAAGCATCCCATCCTGAACATTTCTGTGACTTCAAACCTCAATGTCCTTGCTCCATTAGATAGCATCATCTGGTAAGAAGCAGGATGATTTTGTTACTCTTAGCATTGCAAAGTCAACAGTGAAGAGCCATCAGTGAATTTGGATTTGCATCCTGACCAGATTCAGGAGTTCCAAAGAAGGCTTTTGGGAAACAAATTTTGCCATGACAGCGGTGTATGTCAGAGATAAAGTTTGAATTGTCATCAGAAAGTAACGCTGAATAAGAGTGAGTTTGCCTGACATTTACTAGTATATCTAGATTTGCAGAATATTTTAAGGTAGTGGACATTTGTGAGGGGCCTCAGCAGAAAACAGCTTAGTTTTCTTAGAAGGCACAAGGTATAAAATAGTCTAATTTAATATGTAAGTTTAGCAAATTTTAGGTCAACATGGCTGAGAGATAGTTATGACAGAAAGCATGCTCCCATAGCCTGACTACCCTCTATTTTGCAGTGGAAATTCTGAGCTAAAAGACACTAGCAGTAAAAAACAGATGCTGTTAATCTTCACATCAGGTAAAAATGAGGAGTGTAGAGTTGAGGGAAGGCTTGAAATAGATCTGACTTTGTAGATCACTATTATTTTAAAAAAATTCCCTCTTTGTAGGTAAGGAACAAAATCCAGTTTTGTCCCCCTGATAACAGCATCAATCAAGTTATTAAGCAAAGAGAGTTTTGACAGATAAACACCCAGAAATGCTGATAGTATCTGACATTAATGCTTAAAGCAAATACCTTTCTTCCCCAGTTCTGTGAAGGACAGACTGGACAAGGGACCGCCAGGGGTTAATAGCTGTGGGTCTCCTGTGGGTAGCTGTAACCATATCCATTGGAGAGGGCAGGGTGTGCTTCAGCCTGGAGGCCTTTTGGTCTGCATGGTGCTGTATATTTTGGAAATGCCTCTGAAATATGGTCATTTAGTCTCTCTTTTATGTTGTAGTGAGCTCAGCTAAAGCGCAGCTGCTTTTGAGGGTCTCCTTCCCTTCCCTCCTCCCATCCCCAGCTCAGGCTGCTTTGCCTCCTGAGAAACTGGAGATGGGCTTTGGTAGAGTGAAAGGGGGCAGAAGGAGAGAAGGAGAAAAGTTAATAATTCCACACAGACAGTCTATCAGAGATGTTAAGGAAAGGGAATGATCTCAGCTGGGCTTCCCTTCAGTGTGTCATGCTTTTCAGCTCCTTTCATGCAAACTTCTCCCCCCTCCCCATCCCCATCCTGCCATTCTTTAGCCCCAACTCACTCGCTCTCTTTCTCTCTCTTTCTTTTTTTCTCTCCCTCCACCTCTCCACACATTTCTATCTTTTGTTTTTATTTCCCCCCCTGCTGTTTTCCTTGATAGAAATCTCACTCATGCATTTCCCTTCCGGATTTCTATTGGGTTATTTTGTCCTCTCTCTCTCTGTGCCTTGGTCCCCCTTTCTTTCTCTGCCTCTTGTCCCAGAGTAAAACAGCCGCCTCCCCGCTGGGTCAGGATGACAGTGCCGTTAGGTTTCCCAGTGCCAGCCCTTCCCACATCTGTGCAGCTTTTGTCCCAGGGCAGAGGGGGATTTGGAATGGTCGGTTGGCAGCGCCAGGGAGACTGATGTAAAAATGAGATCCGAAAAAGAAGGGGAAAAGGAATTAGGAGGAGGGCGTGAGACGGTTTAAGAGAAGCACAAGTGAAAATAAAATAAAGAAGTAAAGGGCACAGCTCAGGCTGTGTGTGAGTTGGGACATTCCAGCTTCAGAGACAGCCCAAACAGAAAGAAATGAATGAATCCTGGTACCACATTATGCTGCTAATCGATTAGCCCCAGTATCTGGCCCTTAGGTATGACTGGGATGGAGTCAAAGCACTCCCGTGAAATACTTTGAGACAGTATCCAGGAGAGCATCCTTCGTGCACAGGTGGGCTGTACCTGACACCTCCTTAGGTCCATACTCACAGATGGCCCGCTCAATCCTCAGCACTCAACTCCTCTGTCCTCGCCTTGATGTTTCTTCCTGCTCCAGACCAGTTTTGCTTCACCCTTGGCTTCCCATCTCTCCAGACCTACTCTGCCCCAGCTTCTGCTACCTCTCAGATCTAATTCTTCCAGCTTCTTTCTATCCTTCCTTCTAATGTTTTAATGCCTTTTTCTGCTTACCAGGGTAAGTGCCTCTATGCCCAATGCAGCCAGCCCAGTCACCCTGTTCCACCTTTGCATCACAACATTTTCTTGTACCATCCATGAAGAGAAATAATAGTTTACTTGGCAGTGTACTTTCTAACCAGGCCATTCCTGGTTACCTGTCCCTGGGATGTGACATTGCAGTAAGCCATGGGGAATTGCCTCTGTTTTTGAGAGAATGTGATTTTCTTCTGGGAGATGTAAAGGAGTCTTTTTCTCTATCTGTGTTTTTTTTTTTTTCTCTTTTTAGTTTCTCAGGCTCTTTAGTTACTTTCCTCTCAACAAGAGGCCCTGCTTAGCCCCCCGTATCCTTCTTTATGCTTACGGGAGCTCAGAGGTCGTGAGTGATTCTTCTTTTTAAAACACACAACTGCCAAGTGTGGAAATAAGGATGTGTGGCGGTACAGTCAGGGTGCCGTGCATTAAAAATTGACAGTGGCTAACGAATTTAGAGAACTGCCATGGTAGGTATGTAATGCCTGTGTGCTGGGGATGAAGCATCCTATGTTTTTTGACTACTCCTTTCTCGTGATGACAGAAGATGAAGCGAAGGAGCTACCTGCAGCTTCAGGAGCCAAGGCAGCCAGCTGCCCCCCGTGATACTGCATGCGTATGTTGTAAAAGCAGCGAGGGAGTGACAGGCTGCTCTGATCCATTTTGGCGCACGCTCAGAGTGAAAGGAGTGTAGAGAGGTTGTGTGTAGGCCTTTGTAAGCAAGTAGTGTGAAATTCCTCAGTTTCAGGTGAGATTTGCTGTAAGCTCTTGAGGACTCTTGAATTTCAAAGTCAAAGTGTGCTGAAGAGAAATATTCATACACAGGAAGGAAAATTCCTGTAAAGTTTCACTGTTCCCCTTGCTAACTGCCCCATACATCTGACACTACACTCCAGAGCAGTGGAGAGAAGAATAATAAGCCAGACTGCAAAGGGAAAGGTTTTTCTCCTTTCAAATGCTATCCAGATACTAGCTTTTCCATATTACTGTAATTCAGTGATGGAATTTGCTGCTATAAACATCCGCCTGTAGTGAATATCAAGGACAAAAGAATATTAGCATGAACGCATTATTTTGTCCTACTTAACAAAAATCTTTTCTGTTTTTCTTAATCTTACTTTCCTGATCATTGCTAACCAGTAGAGTACAGAATTTGCATATCAATATAAAGAATGCTGGGAATATTCCACCCTGATCTACATTCTGTATAATGCTATTAAATTGAGTAGCACAGGGATGTCATTCAGGATGGAATTTGGCTAATTTCAACTTCCTAATGACATTTTCCCTCTACTACTAACAATAGATTTTAACTTGCAGTATATCAGGGTTTCCAGTATATCAGCATTTTCAATGCACTGTACTTATGTGAACCACTTAATTGAACAAGGTGAAGAGTGAGAAAATAAACTTCATGAATATTCATTCTCAGTATAATTTAGAGGGAGCCACTCTCTGGTGCTGACACTCCAGCAGTGACTGTGCATTCAGAATTTTGCTGGTGCAAGGGCTTGCACAAGCAAATTTTACCTTGATGTTCGGCATATTCATGAAATTTGAGCTTTCATTTGGCTTCTTTTTATGCACTGGGAATCTTTTGATAGTCATACTCTCCTAGTCATGCAGACAAATGGTATTTGACATACCTGACTGTTTTTTACAGGTCCGTCTGAATTACTGGACATGACAGACAGTGAAACGTAAGTACAATCTACTCTGCCCTTCACATTATGTTTTTTACCCTAGCAGACTTCTCTTGTTTTTCAAGGGCAAACTTTTAAATAAAAAAGCTTGTAAAATGACATATCTCTTCAAAAACAAACAAGCAAAAAAGAGTCCCCCTAAACCTAAACAGCAACCACCTCATGTGGCTTTCTGGACTAAAACAAACGTTTCTTTGACTCTAAAAAGGACTTCCTCTCGATTGCTTCCCACACCTCCTTAATCTTTCTAGAGGAATACAAGTCCTGCATTGTGCTTTGATGTTTCCAGAATCCAGTTACTGAGGAAACAACCTCAAGCGTAGATTCCAGAAATCAGAACATTACTTTTCTTGCTCTACACCTTTTCATCAGTCCCTTATTGATTCATCCAGAGTGCTCTGCCTTAGTTGTCCCAAGTGAGCACAACCTGTGCAGATGAAGATTTATCTCAAGCAGTTAGAACTTCAATCACCTCTGTTATTATATTAAAAAAAAAAGACTTTACTTTCCAATTATCAACTGCACTATGTCTTGTTTTACAATCAAGGTATCGCAAAGAGTATACAAGGGAAGCATGAATAATCCTGGGAAGTATACAGAATATATGGGAAGCAAAAGTAGCCTTTCTCATAGGAGTTAAACCTATCATTCCTCATCCCACAGTGCCCTCCTCTGCTAATGGAGAAAGATAGAAAAGTTCTGCACAAGGTGCATGTGTGCAGTCCAGGGGTGATGGAAGCTGGATGGACTGCCTGTTTCTCTTCATCCGGTAGCATAGTACAGCCACTGAACTAAAGTGCAAGTGAACATGGCTATGCGGGCTTCCCTTCACAAGGGTCCCTCTGCTGAACTCTTGAAAAGGGAAGATTCAAGCCATAACTGGCAGCATGAATTTATCTTTTGATCCTCAGGGGGAAATCAGATAGTAACCCATTCTGAATCTAGTTCTCATGCAGCAGAGGCAGATTCATTACAAGTTTACCTATTCATATTTCAACTTGCACTGTGGTGGACTGAGGCTGAAATGCCTTTATGCACTCTCACTTTCTGGATAGGTAGGAGCAAGATTTGTCCTACTACACGTATTTCTTGTCATTTGTTATGTTGGAAGTTATGTAATGACCCTATTTGTTGAACACTAGTCTTAAGAACACCTTTTCAGTCCACTCAAAGCATAGTTTCCTCCTCTTCCTAGGCAAATTTAGATAGGTTTCTTTAACCTTAGTACTACAATCAGTCTTGGAATCCTGTTACACGTAGGCCCAGTCTGTGTAAGGAGCTTTGCAATAAATCTGCTCCTACTATGTGACCTTCTGTTTTGAAAAGTACATGTTAAAGCTTCCCCATTAGCTCACTAGTACAGTGATGGACAACAAAAACACAGCTCTTGCTCGCATACATCCAAGAGAGCAAGGTATCAGAACCAGGGCAGCAGGCACACCAGTCATGGCTTTAACGGGGCAGGATTTTTCTAGGATGCATCCAAGAATGAGTTTGAGGAAAGAAAATTAAGGAAGAAACAAACACTGTTGCTGTTTTGCCTGCTGTGAGATAAGAAGATGGCTAGTTTGCCTTTGCAGCAATTAGCAGAACCGGTGGTTGGATAAGAATGTGACATTCAGTCCTTTGAATACATAAAACCTGTGCGTGTTTCTTTCCCACTCCTCAGAAGTTCTTCATCTGCTATTTGTGCATTGCAGCCTTTCCTGGATGTAGATGCTAAGGGAGAGAGTGCACAAGTCTGCCTCTGCTAGCAAGAGGGAACCTCGCAGAAATACAACATCCTTCTCTGTCTGTCCTCTGCACCTCATACTTCGTAAGTGCACATTGGTGTGACGTGTCTCACTGCTGGTTTCTGTACTTTGGTCTAGGGGCGAGACAGCACTACATAAGGCAGCCTGCCAGCGCCATCGTGCCGTCTGCCAGATCCTGGTGGATGCAGGAGCCTCTCTGAGAAAGACGGACTCCAAGGTAACCCAGCCCCATCAACCAGTTATAAAATACTGCAGCCAAGCGAGACCGATCAGCATCCGTCCCTGCTGCGTGCATGATTGAAGCTTCCTCGTGCGTGCCAAGAGCAGCTCTTTTTAAACAAGCTATTCTGATTTAGAAAACTGTATTGATTTAAACAAGTACAAGAAACTTCAGTTCAGTCCCCAACGTGGGTCATCTTCACCATAGTGAGAGCCTGGCCTCGGACTATTTGGTGTGTTGGGTGTGAATGAGGCATCTCCATGGCACAGCAACATCCTCCTCCTGTGTGGTCAAAAGAGAGGCCTGTGGGCAAGGACCACCTGGGGGAGCCTTGGTCTGTGATTGCATAGTGTCTGTGAGGCTTGATTGTTGTGGCTGACTTGCTTTGTGAGGATGGCTAACCATTTTCTTGTGCCCTTGCTCACTGCTATGCTCGCTGATGTGACACTAACCACGGCCCTCTCTGGGTGTACGCTTGGCTGAGAAAGATGTCTGGGCAAAACTAAACCCTAGGAATATGCTGTCAATACAACAATCCGATCACTTGGGAACATGGTCCAGAAGCTGCCTCTCTGGCGTTTCTGAACATAAGTATCCTGTGGTCACCAGCTGAGAAGTGGATGGATCTCTGGCTTCCAGAGTCAGAAGCACCTTCATTGCAGCAAGATAACTGAAAACAATTCCTACCCTGTTATGCTGAATGAGGTAGTCTATAAGTGGGAAAGCGATCACGTCTGTTTCAGATGAGAATACTGTACATCGCAAAAGATAATTTCTGCAATAGCTGAAATCCAGTCAAGTGGCTTCTTACTTGTTAATCATCATCGGCCCAGAAATTCAAGGAGCCAGAATGTTTTTGTGGGTATACGTTAAGGCGTTTCCAATATTTTTTTCATAGTTTAGGATCAAGACTTGTGGTCCAATTTAACAGTACTTGTAAGGTAGCCCAGATAATGGAGTAGCAAATTGATGCACTGAAAAATGATTTGTACTTGAGATAGAATGAGACAAGCTGAACTCATTTCAAATGTTGGGCATCTCTCTCCACATCCTTAGCAAAGTGTGTAGTCTGTGAAGTGCATTTTTCAAGTGTTAGCTACAGTACTGTGCATCGTATTCATTCACACAGGGATTGTAGCCCTAGAATGAAAAATCAGTTCCTTCCAGCATGTGAGCCCTTCTGTGTGATGTATCAAATAGCATGTCCTTGTACTCCATAATTTGTCCTAAACCACACAAGGACTTTGGAAATCTTGAGAATCTCATGACTCTGACAGAAAAAACTTGACTTGTACAACAAATAAGTAAATTCTGCAAATTTGCTTCTATAGTTCCTGTAGTAATTTCTCTGTGTCATGCTTTCATCTGTTCTTCTGAATACGTTGGCACAAGATTTTCTCTTCATGTTTCTTTATTGTAGGGTAAGACACCTCGCGACAGGGCTCAGCAAGCTGGTGACCCAGATCTGGCCTCCTACTTGGAGAGTAGACAAAACTACCAAATGGTTTCCCACGAGGATCTGGAGACAGCAGTCTGATGTCTGAAAACATCGAAGAGGATCCTTGGAAAACGCAAGGCTGCACCTGAGGCGCTTGGGCATCGTGTGAGGAAGAAGCTGATGGAATCAACGTGTCTTTCAATCTCGTGAAAAATACCTGAGGACATGCCGCCAGTTTCTAAGGGCTACTGAGTCTTGCCACGGAACGGTTAGGTTCCATAAGTTAGCCCATGATGGATGAGGCGGGACACTCAAAGGTCTGTGGAATCCATGGGCCATGGAAACTTACCTTTATTGCTTCCAGCAAGTAGCATGAACTTCTCTCATGTTCATCTGTACAATTTATTAAAAAAAAAAAAAGGAAAGAGAAAAGAAGGTGTGGGGGAACCAAACTAACTGGGACATTAAAACACCCAACCAGGCCGTCCTCCTGCATTCCTTTTATTCTCCCATTCTCCTCACTTCTCATCAGTTAAATAGTACCTGTTATCTCTGTGTTAAGTCTTCAAAAATGGTCAGGCAGTAGCAAAATTTTGAGGAGCTCTGGATGCCCTTAGGAAAAACCCAACGTTTTCACTGGCTGCATTCCCTCCCTTGGCGTCCTCTCGGAAGCTGCGTCCTCCGTGCTCCATCACCGGGGAGTTTTCTCGCTTTTGGAGAGGTCTCTGCCTATTGCCTTGTTTCCCAGGGTGTGTGGCACAGTTAGATTTACAGCAGTAACAAAACCTAATGTCCTCATTGTTGCTGGGTATACGGTTATGGTATCTTCATGAGACAGTCATTTGTATGGAAAGGAGTTATATGGGATACACCACGTTGTGTGGCAGAGAAGAAAGTTACCAGTAAGGTTTCTCACGCCACCATTGCACATATAATAACCGACCTAATTCTGCTCAGGTTTTCAGGCCTGCCTAAAAGTTCATAGTTTTTTTTTGCTTTTGAAAATATGAGTTTTACACTGGGGAAAGATCTGTGCAAGACGAAGGGGGTTCTGATGGACTGACTTATGGACTCAGTCCCCTTTGCATTACGGCCAGAGGTAGGAAGGAGACCTAGAACATCAGCAGTCAGCCTAGGCTTGCTGCTGTCAACAAATGAATGAGAACTGCCCCAGTCACACTGGGAATAGGAAAACCTTCTTTGCCTGAACCTGTAAGCCATCTGATTCCTCAAGACAACAGAGTTTCAGAGAGGTTTTATCCCACTGGAGAAGGACAAGCAGCAGCTCTTTGCCTTGTTACCCACTATAGGCTCGGAAACATAAAGTTGCTCAGCCTCTGTAAACCGTGTCTTCGGTACTCATCTGCTCTCTGTCTTACCTCAAAGATTGTAACGACGAAAGAAGAGAAGGCAAACACACATACAGGCATACACAAAATGTTCACCTTCAGGTTTTCAATCAGTACAGACAACTCAGCTGCCAGAAATAGCAGAGCTTCCACTTCCACTATGTCTGACCAGTCCCCTTGAAGACGATCACGGCCCACTTTTGGCATAATTCTTCCAATTGTTTTGAAAGATCCACCGGTGTTTGTTTTCACACACCTTACTAGGTGTAGGTCTCTGGTAGATGGTGATCATCAGGATTACATGCAGATTGGAAACAATGAAAATAACTCAGGTCATTATTGAGATAAGTTTATCTTCCTTGGTAGAAGTTGTGGAAGAGAAATGGATGTGGTTCTTTTCTTTTTCTTTTTTTTTTTTTAACCAAGAGTGATTGTTTTGACAGAGAGGGAGGAGCTGAAATTTTTTTTTTTTTTTTCAGTTTTCAAAAGTTCATTTGATATGAGCAAAATATTTCTTTAGTATTTCTTCCTCTGGAAGGAAACTATATATATTTGTAATCTATAGATCAATGGCGACATGAAAATGTATTTTGTCTTATTTTCTGTCTTTACCTTTCTTGTTTAAAAAATAAAATATGAAAGCCAAATTCCTTCCCTTGATAATCATCCAGGGGCTTGTGACAAAGGTCAGTATGTGTATATATTAGAACAGAATTTGGCAACTGTTAAAATAAAAAAATCAGAGTATAATTTTGGTGTATGTGAAATTTCCACAAGGAAGATCCTCATGCTGTGGTTTCATGGTAGGCCTTGCATCATTCCTCAGCTGTGAGGAAAGACATTGCTGTAATATTTTGAGATATTTGATGAAAAATAAGAATTATATTAGCATTGAGTTTATCTTTTTGCTTTGTTTTACTGAAGTGAGAAACGCAGGAAGCTTCAATGATGCCAGGGGCTGGGTTCTGTCCTGTGTTGAGGCCAGACTGGTGCCTGGGCAGAGGACGGTCAATGAGCCCATTGCAGCTCCCTGGTCCTCTAGTCCCATGAAGCAGGTGGAGCAGCAAAGGTTTGCTCTAATCACAGATACCTTCCAGAAGCCATGTGTGAATTATGCTAAGGGAGCTGGGTCTGGTCCCGCTCTGTCCCCAGCATCCCTCCCCTCGGAGAGATATCCCTTGTGACTGTGGGGTGACTGCTGCAGGGGCTGGCTCCGGAGCAGCTGGGCAGGATGAGCAAGTTTCCTGAACTCCTTTGTGCCGTTTGGACTGCTCAAAGGAGCTTAGAGCGCACGAGAGAGTCTGGCTTGGCTTTTTCCCTGGCAGCTGGAGTACGATGCCACGATCAGAGGGAGCCTGTTGTGCCTCTGGAAAGCTGCCTGCACTATGTGCTCAGTAGGAAGCAGTTACTGTGAGCTGAAAATAAACCCCAGCACTGGAGATAAGACAGACACTGGCTTTATGTAGTGCCTTTAATATTCAAGGTGTCCCAAAACACTGCACATATAATGCATTAGATTCTAGTGATATATTGTATTTGTAGATAACAGAGTAAGTATATTGTTTTCTGCAATGGCTCCCATGCAGCCAGGGATATCAGAAGTTTGTTTGCTGAGGGAAGGAATGTGGGGCCAGGATGCTGCGGGATTATTTCTTACCCCTTTTCAAGTGCCGTGGGATTCTCGATTTTGGACAGCCACCAGAAGCAGGCAGATGCTGCAGCAGTTAAAGGTGACACGTACGTATTGAATCTCTTGAGCACTTGGGGTCTAACTTAGTACAGTATCATTGTGTCTGCACTGTGCAGGGCCCAAATTTCAGTATGCAACTGGGAATTCACTTAAATTACATGTAAAACATTCTGATTTACTGAAACTGTCTGTTCTGTGGCTGTGTCTATTTGTGTGTGTATATTACTATATATATGTACATTTATAAATATCAGTATGCATATATATAGACTGTCACACACATGTGCACACACTTTTAGAACCATGCCATTTGAATGACAAAATACTTAGGGATGCTCAGCTGCTGAGGTTGCTGGACTGACTAAATGTCATTTTCCATTTTAATTTGTTATTAAAGGAGACCCTTTTCAGTAGAACTGAGGAGCTCCTGAATTGTTCCATTGTACTGTTTTACTATCTCATTTTGGAGTTAAATGGAGGCAAAGAAAATATTTATAATGTTCATAAAATAAACTTACTTTTGTTATTTAATAGCATCAGTTACTCTTATTTCATGTTTCAATGCTAGAGATATCTTTGTCTTCTCCAAGACATGATGATGTCATACATTTCTTGCTAATTATAGCATCCCTCAATATTCTGAGGTGAGACTGACTTATTCATGTAGGACAGGAGTTAAAGGCAAATTTTGCCCGTTGCAAAACAGGCCTCAGATTACAGTGGCTCTTTCACCATTTCATGTGATGACTTGTCTGTGTTTTAGCACTTTCAGATGTCTGTAGATGTTTTGGCTGACACCTATCACCCTTGCTTTTACCCAGCAGCAGCAGAAACACTGTGTCAACTCATGGTGCCATAGCCTGAATTTGGACTACATGAGATGTCCCCTGCTACATGAGGACTGTCATATAGAAACACTATAGACATAAAGAGAATAGAACAAAATTGATGTTTTGTTACCATTGATCATCCCAGTTATATTTGCAGAGCTGGTGGTGTTGTGGATGAATAGATGGGGCACATGTGTTTTTTCTGGTGGTGTGGCTGTGGGAGGTTTGTTTGAGTAGTATTTAATGGCCTCTTTTGCTCATTTTTGTCTTTGCTGTGACCGTGACACACATAGTAGTGGAAGTCACTGACACACAATCTCACCTAGAAGGTGGCTATTTTCCTTTCAGCCATCCCAGATGCCTCCTGTGGGGTGTGCTTATGTGTTGGCCCTTCTAGTATAACAAAAGCACGTTGACATGATCTGACTCTGGGCAAAAGCTGTGAAATGGGCAAGGTACATTGTTAGTCTCAGGCTTGCTGGGGGTTTAATGGTACTCAAGAAATGTATGGACATGCTTGGAATTTGGATGCCTTGAAAACACTCCAAGGACAACTCTGTCCTTGCACTCCATGTGCTCCAAGAAGGAAGCAGTTCCTCATGCTGATCCATTTGAGGTCTGTTATTTTCTTTCCCCTACTTCTTGCTTCTTTTGTGCTAGACTGACATCCATGGAGAAGAATTTTTTAAGAATGGTGTTCAAGGTTTTGTGTAAGAGCCCTTCTACTGTATTGAAGGTAATGTTTCTACCGCTGTTATACCTATTCTTTTCTATTCCATGGACATTATTTCTTCCCTTTGTTTTCCTCACTGAATCTAAGCCAAAGCAACATTGGGTTATTCTTCTCTTCCTAATTAATCTAAAGCATTAAATGTGAGCATCTTCAGTCATTTCAGCAGTCTTGGAAACAGCTTATCATAAACCTATGTGTTTCTGGATACCTGTGGACTGTGGTACTCACTTTTTCGTTTTGCATTCTTAACAAAAATGTAGGCAACTATTTTGCTTAGTAATAGATGGCTACAGCTTGAAAATCCCATGAGCTGCCAGCCAAAATCTGTTGATTGCGACAGCGACTCAGTAACGTGCTAAAAGTGGCTTGCTAGCATATTGATGAAGACTAGAATTTTACGTGGAGGGTGTGTCTCCAGCTTCAGTGCTTGAAGTCCCTTTGAAGGGTAGGGTGCAGCTCATGGCTGCACTCTGGAAATGCCTCAAGAGGAGCTAGAAACCAGCCCTGCACCCAGCTCTTGGGATGAACAGAATATACAGAGGAGTCAGGATGTCTCAGCCTTTGCTGAGGAGTTACCGGTGCAGACAGACTGCAGCAGCTCGGCACTTGGCTTGGGCTGCCCAGAAGTAGGCTAAGTATTTGGGCAGTTTCTCACTTCTAATTCGATTTAAAAGCTGGCCTGGGTGTTATGGATTATCCAGCAGTCAACGCAGTAACCATGGCTAAGTATACTCCAAGTTGTGCCGTGGCACCACTCTTCTCCGAGCTGCCTACCTGAGATCCTCTGTAGGTACCGGAGCTCAGGGGCCTCCCTTTCCCTCCCCAGCATGTTTCCAGCACTGCTGCCTGTGGTGATGCCCTCAGAGAGTGACATTCTCTCCTTCCCTGTCCATGTGCACTGGAGCAATGGCCCCCGGCTTAGCCAAGGGATTTCCTGGCCCACATATGGTGCCGTTCCTGCAAAAAAGGAAAAATTAC